TGGTTGGATTCGCCAATGCCGAATGGATGGCCCTGTTGGGAGTGATCATCACTTCAGCTAGCAGTGGAATTGGAGAGACCACTTTTCTGGCCTATTCCTCGCGATACAACAAGTGAGTTTCAGTGAGGATCATTACCCAAAGCAATTTCATTATTTTATAATATTTCACTCAGGAATGTGATATCCACATGGTCATCCGGAACTGGTGGTGCTGGAGTCATTGGTTCCTTGAGCTATGCCAGCTTGAGGTCCTTAGACTTCAGTCCTAGAGACACCATGCTGATTATGCTGATCTTTCCGGTGGTCGAAGCCATTGCCTTCTGGCTGCTGCTTCGTCGCCCACAGGTTGATATTCTGCCAGTTACCACGGTTGAGTCCACTGAGGTCCTGATCACCGATGAGAAACCGCTGGTCGGTTTCAAGGAGAAGCTCTCCTATATCAAACACCTCATCAAGTATATGTTGCCACTTTGCTTGGTGTATTTCTTCGAGTACTTCATCAATCAGGGCTTGGTACGTCAATAATAAAAAATATACTTAAGCTTCGTAACCAATTTTAACTGATCTTCCAGTTCGAGTTGGTCTACTTCGAGGACATTTTCTTGGACAAGGACTCGCAGTACCGCTGGCTGAATGTGGACTATCAAATCGGTGTCTTCATCTCGCGCTCCTCGGTCAACCTCTTCCAGCTGGACAAGATCTGGCTGATGTCCGTCTTCCAGTTCGTCAACGTGGTCTACTTCCTCACCGAGGTCATCTGGTGGTACACGCCCAGCATCTGGATCGTGTTCGCCATCGTCCTGTGGGAGGGTCTCCTGGGCGGCGGTGCCTACGTGAACACCTTCTACCGCATGTCCAAGGAGATCTCACCGGAGCGCCAGCAGTTCGCCATGGCCATGGTGGTCCAGTCGGACTCCTACGGCATCGCCCTGGCCGGATTCCTGGCCATTCCCGTCCACAACGCCATCTGCGGTCTTCCGGCGGCGATGCGCAGCCTTGTCTGGTGATCGGGAACGAGGAACGAGGATCAGGAACAGGATCAGGATCAGGATCAGATTATGCCTTTACTGTGTGCGAGTGTAGCTAATTAAGTCTAAGTGAATGTCTGTGCGTGTCCCGATAGTATTTATCTCTGGATCACTGGACTCCCGGGAACTAGATAGATGGTTAAATAGTTAGTATGCCTCTGTTCGACTACTCTTTAAGATTTAGTTTGCTAAACAGCTAATGAAAATACTGTTTGCACTAGAGTACTTCTTTGTTTCGTTGTAACGATTATTTTTAATTATAATTAAAAAATAAAATAAAATGTTTGCTAGTTTTCAGATCAGAAGAATAATTTTCCTATATATTTAAATAAATTAAACGTTTTTATTTATATGGAATACCTTTATTGGCAAATACGGTTTCTAGTACCATTTTATTTTTTTTATAGGTTACTTATTATTAGGTTCTTAACTCTTTGAACTATGCATTATAATTATTCACATTATTGCTTTATTGCTTTTCTTTAAGACATAGTTTCTTGGCAGAGTATCGAGTGTTAAGGACCAGTTTATCAATTAAAAGCAATTGCTGTTTGAATGTTCTCTATTGCCAATGTCATGCTCAGTTTATTCTGCTCAAACTTAGCAGAGCTAACCCACCTTGATATTCATACCGATCCGTAACAGAATTTGCCCCACTTGTTTGAGGTTTATTCAACTGTCTCCAACAAAAATTCACTTAAATTTGACGAATTTAAATTTGTTGTTGGAGGTGCGCAGTAATTATTTCAAGTTGTTGTTGGCCGCTAATTTGGTTTGATCGATGCCGAATCGAACAGCGGAGCAAGACCGAATCTGGGAGTGAGATGACGATGACGACGTCGGTGGAGACAGTTTGGGAGATCGAGACCCAAACCGAGTCGCGGCAAGATGTTACGTGGACCTCTCGCGTCTTTAGTCGATCGGGAACCGCCGTGCCAAGCGGAACGCGGCAGTCGAGCTAACAATACGTGTTTGTCCAATTCGGAAATTGAGTAACCACGATGTGGGCCTTATCAGCGTTTCTGCTGCTACTCTGCCTCCAGCGGGTGAAGTCGGATGAGGCTGCTGCTGCAGCACGGCGACCTAACATAATTATTATAATGGCCGATGACATGGTGGAACTAGTTTCTTCGCCGTAAATCACCCTAACACTAAAACAACCCACATTTCAGGGCTTCGACGATGTGAGCTTTCGCGGTGGCCGGGAGTTTTTAACTCCCAACATCGATGCCTTGGCCTACCACGGTCGTCTACTGGATCGTCTCTACGCCCCGGCCATGTGTACTCCCTCCCGGGGGGCACTACTCAGCGGCCGATATCCAATACACACGGGTAAGTGCTAATCGTCATTTGAACTATCGTATAAGGGTGTGCATCAGAATCTCAAGAGGCTTGAGACTTGTTAAGCAGGTGTACAAAATCAAATTACGTTATAACATCTCGTGTGGCCTTTATCCACCGGATCTTCAGTTTCAAATATACATTTTGGTCGTCATCGTTGGAGATATTATGTCATTACATATTTAGATAAACGGAAATTTCTTCACTTTAAAATCTCCTAATAAAAGGTGAAAATTTTAGAAACAAAGCTTTTAAAAATCATCATAAACGCACATCACTTTTTTAAAATATCTTGATATTATAAACAGCCACAAAGGTTTTGAAAACCTTGTATTTTTGGTTTTCAATTTTATTATTGATGTTGGTATAGTTGAATTACTTGATGCTTTATCCTATCGTAAATAAATAGGCACCCAACACTTTGTGATCAGCAACGAAGAGCCTTGGGCGCTGACCCTCAACGCCACTCTGATGCCGGAGATCTTTAAGGGCGCTGGCTACTCCACAAACTTGGTGGGAAAGTGGCATCTGGGCTTCTCCCGACCGGAATACACGCCCACTCAGCGCGGATTTGACTACCACTACGGCTATTGGGGCGCCTATATAGACTACTACCAGCGACGATCCAAAATGCCGGTGGCCAATTACAGTCTGGGCTATGATTTCCGGCGGAACATGGAGCTGGAGTGCCGGGATCCAGGGGTTTACGTCACCGACTTGCTGACCGCCGAGGCGGAAAGGTTGATCAGGGAGCATGCAGAAAAGGAGCAACCGCTCTTCCTGATGCTCAGCCATCTGGCCACCCATACGGCCAACGAGGATGATCCCCTGCAGGCTCCCGAGGAGGAGATACGCAAGTTTTCCTACATCAAAGATCCCAATCGGAGAAAATATGCGGGTGAGTATTTAACGAAAAACGTGAACTTTATAATGCCGTTAGTTTCTATAAGATGTAGCCAAAAAATATCGTGTGTTAGAATAAACATTTTAAGAAAACTGGATTATTTTCTCAATGGATTTATGCGTTTATCGTTTCAACATCTTTCCAAAATAATAATGAATTATATAAAAAATGAATTAATTACCTTGAAGAAATAATGAAATATAAACAAACATTTATTAGGTAAAGTAAATATTACTTTGTAATGTTTTAAAAATAATTAATTTCCTTAAACAAATAATGAAATATAAACAAAGTTTATTATGTAAAGTAAATCTAACTTTATACCGCTCTTAGCAAAATAACTTCAGGATTTGTTGAACTTCAGAAATAATATTAATTAATTTAGAAAATAATAATGGCAAGAAAAGTGGTTTTAGTTCATAAGTTACTTACCCTATAATTTATTTAAATCCTAGCGATGGTCTCCAAACTGGACCAAAGCGTCGGACGTATCATCAGCAGCTTGGCCGCCAATGATCAACTGGAGAACAGCATAGTGATCTTCTACTCGGATAATGGAGCCCCGTCGGTTGGTATGTTTGCGAATACGGGATCGAATTTTCCGCTCCGTGGCCAGAAGAACACTCCGTGGGAGGGCGGAGTGCGGGTGGCAGGCGCCATTTGGAGTGCCCAGCTGCAGGCACGTGGTTCCATCTTCAGCCAGCCAATTTACGTAGCCGACTGGTTGCCCACTCTGTCCCATGCGGCGGGCATTGAGTTGGATGGCTCCCTGCAACTGGACGGGATCGATCTGTGGCCCCAGTTGGCGGGATCGGCTGATGCTCCCCATGTTCCTCGAGAGATCCTGCACATTTTGGACGATGTCTGGCGGGTGGCTGCCCTCCAACTGGGTCAGTGGAAGTACGTGAATGGCACCACTGCCGCGGGCCAGTACGACTCGCTGCTCACCTACCGGGAACTGGACGACCTGGATCCCCGCGAGAGTCGTTATCCGGTGACGGTACGCAATTCCGCCACTTCAAGAGCTCTATCCCGCTTCGACCTACGACGACTGACACAACAGCGGATCTCGTCCATTCGGCGATCGGCTGCCGTGCGTTGTGGCGATCTCCAGAGGTCCTGTAATCCTCTGCTGGAGGAGTGCCTATACGACATCTCCAGGGATCCCTGCGAGCAGAGCAATCTGGCCTACTCCGCCAGGCACTCCGATGTTTTGGCTGCTCTGCGAAGACGAGTTCAAGAATTGAGGGCGAGTGCCATGAGGCCGGGAAACCAAGCCAGCATGCCGGAGTCCAATCCCACGTGGCACACCTGCGCTTGGGAGTCATTCGAAGTGCTGAAGCCCAAAATCGGTAAGAAACATACATTCTCTGACGTTCTATTGCCATTACTTTCCCAAATATTTTGTAGTTCCCTTGGAGTGCCATTACCAAGGCGTACCCTGTTGATAAGCCCATATTAAGTATACAAATCAAAGATTTTAGCCATCGATGGATTTTTAATCTATCCAGAATTGAACACGAAATTAGCTTTATTTTTAAAACTCACGATCTAGTTGTCTACAAAAATGATATATAAAACATATAACATTTATTTAGGAAAAATATTAAAGTTTAGGGCTTACTTAAATATGAGAATAAAAATACAAATCAAAATATCTTTGATTAAATATTTGTTTATTTTCTATCCGCAAGGTATTTTGAAAATAACGGTTGTCTATCAAATAACATGCCTGTTATACACATCACTGTTAACGCCAAACAGTCCTCTAAATGATGTTAGCCAATAAAACTCTATCTGGCAGCACTGTTCCACTGGGATATAATATGTTGAGCAAAATAACATTTTTTGAAATTTCCAATTAAAAAGTTCTGATTAGAAAACTCGATTTCCTTGGCCGGTTTTTATATATGAGTGTATGATTGACACTATTCTAAATATAAGCGCAATTTTCTATCCTGCAAAAGCACCCCAAACAGCTGACAGGCATACACACATACAAATCAGAAAACGGGGGTTGACCAAACCGGATGACAGGATATAAATCAGAGTCGTTACCTGAACCTGAATCTATATAAAGACTTGTCATGGAGGAGCGTGCTGTGCTGGCCAACATTGCCTCCATAATCACCAAGGACCTGCTAATTGACCAGCCGCCAGTGGACATTAATTCCGGCAGCTATCCGCTGTTGTCCTTCGCCGAGGACGACGATGAGGCGGAGATCTTCGCCCTGATGCAGCGCAAACGGGCGTTGTCCGCCAGCCGGAAGCGCAGGATGCTGCAGGAGCCGGAGGACCGGAAGCAGGACCTCAAGCTGCCCAAGCTGGAGTGGCACCACGCGGAACTCAACCTCCTGCACCGCTACACGGATGCCCAGTTCGAGTCATACCTGCACATGCGCAAGCTCACATTCTTGGTGAGTACGGGATGGGATTCCTCGGGAGCTTAAGGATCTATAGAAAGTGCTTCTTAGATTGAAAATGAGTTGGTTCTTTTATCATTCATTCCATTTCGAATTCAATCACAGTGTATACTTGAAATAGTGAACTAATAAGAACCTTCGAATCATCATAAGGAAGCATTTTCAATGCGTTTGTTTTTTTAGAAAATCCAGCAAGCACTGGAGGAAACCCTGAGCGGGATTGCGCTGCCCGGATATCCGACTCCGCCGGCGCAGACGATGCTCTCGCTGGCCATGTGGAGACTGTCCACGGACGAGCACTTCGAGGAGATCGCCCGCAAGTTCCGGCTGCCGTGGGCACTCTGCCAGCAGGTGGTGCGCGGATTCTGGCACTGCATCTCCGACAACTACGAGAGCTTCATCAAGTGGCCCAATTCGCTGGCGGCCCAGCGCAGCACACTGCAAGGATACCAGAAGTTGGAGCAACTCCGTTGCTTCCGGGAACTGTTCGGCATCATAACTCTGAGGCGACTGGACGTCTTCCTGGAGTCGGAGCATGCCGAGGTGCCGGTGGTGCTGCAGCTGATCTGCAATGCGGAGCGGAAGATCGTCGACTGCTATGTGGAGCTGGCCATGGAGTACAGCTTCGAGGAATCGCCCATTGGCCAGACCCTGGCCCTGAACCCCAGGACCATGCCGGCGGGCACCTATCTCATCGGGAACGAGGTTTTCCCCCTCAAATCCTACTTGATGCGGCCCATCGAGGCCGAGTGCTTCCGCAAGGACGCGGTGTTCAACGAACTACTGCGTCCTGCCTTCCAACTGGCGGAGCAGGTCCTGGACACCTTGGCTCGACGCTTCAACACCCTGTACGCCCTGGAGGCCCGCGACTTGAACGAGGTGCGACTCATCGTGGAGAGCATTTGCGCGATGCACAATCTCTGCGAGGAGTTCCAGGATGACGGATTGGAGGACACTGGACAGAGCTCCTTCAGCTGGGGCCGACTGGCGGACGGCGTCAGGGGCAGCGAGAAGGACTCCAAGGGACTGCAGCGGCGGGTGGAACTCCTGGACGAACTGGTGGCCATCGAGACGGGAGAATAAAGTACTAGAATTTAAAATTGACTCTTGATTTCCCTTTTTGGGGGTGTTTAATCTGTAGTTTGATTTAACATAATGAAAATGGTGCAATTAATGAGCTGTATAGCAAGGTTCAGAAGTAGTTAAACAAGCAGTTTTAAAATATTTAGCCCACTATTTATCCTAAAATTGTCAGAATTTAAATGAAATTTTAAAATTTCTTACATTTCGGTAATTTTGCAATTATGCTAAGGCCTTACAGGGTTAATCAGCTGTTGTGTCTAACAGCACTCTGTTAACTACAAATTAGTTAGATCTGGCAACACTGCTCTCGAATCAAAACAAATGCACGTGCGTTGTTTGTAGTAAAATGGATGAGCATGATATATTTAAATTGATTACGGCAGGCGTACGCTTTACCAAGAAGCCCAAGGTAAGTGGTTAACCAAGAAGGTCTTGTCCACAGGCTAATTAACAACATTGCAGAAGGAAACACCTGCCAAACCGCAGCCACAGCACGCGATTACCAAGAAAGAGGAGCCGGTGAAAAGAGTAAAGTCAGAAGAGGAGGATGACCAGGACTCCACAGAATTCCGCCTGCTGGCTGAAGGATCCAGCAGTCAACCCAAACGCAAGAAGACCAAGGAAGGGAAGGCACCCTCCGCCAAAGAACTAGAGCTGCTCCAGGCCGCCGATCAGGCGAACGAGACCAGGCGACAGTTCGGCATCAGTGTGCTGGGCAAAAGGGTCGCCCCACCGGTGGCCAGCTTTGAGGCCCTCACCCGGGACTTCAAGCTGCTGCCGCGCCTGCAGCAGAACCTGCTGGCCCGCAACTTCGACCGGCCCACGCCCATCCAGATGCAGGCGCTGCCTGTGCTTCTCCAGCGCAGAGCTCTGATGGCCTGTGCGCCCACCGGATCTGGAAAAACGCTGGCCTTCCTCACGCCCATCATCGATGGACTGAGGGCGCACAAAACCAGCGGTCTGAGGGCCTTGGTACTGGCCCCCACCCGCGAGTTGGCCCAGCAGATCTACCGGGAATGTGCGGAACTCACCCGCGAAACGGGCCTGCGCACCCACTTCATCAGCAAGGTGAGCGAGGCGAAGCAGAAACACGGCGCCGAGTGCAAGCAGCGCTACGACATCCTGGTCTCCACACCGAACCGCGTCAGATTCCTCCTGCAGCAGGAGCCACCGCTGCTGGACTTGTCGCACGTCGAATGGTTCGTTCTGGACGAGGCGGATCGTCTAATGGAGGAGGGCCAGAACAACTTCAAGGAGCAGTTGGACGTCATTTACGCCGCCTGCTCGCATCCGAACAAGTGCGTGGCCTTCTTTAGTGCCACCTACACGGTGCCAGTGGCCAAATGGGCTCTGCGTCACCTCAAGAATCTGGTGCGCATCACCATTGGAGTGCAAAACAGTGCCACGGAGACGGTGCAGCAGGAACTGCTGTTCGTGGGATCCGAGGGCGGAAAACTAGTGGCCATGCGGGATCTGGTGCGTCAGGGCCTCCAGCCGCCGGTCCTCGTTTTCGTGCAGAGCAAGGAGCGCGCCAAGCAGCTGTTCGAGGAGCTGCTCTACGACGGCATCAACGTGGACGTGATCCACGCCGAGCGGAGCCAGCATCAGCGTGACAACTGCGTGAGAGCCTTTCGCGAGGGCAGCATTTGGGTGCTCATCTGTACGGAGCTGATGGGTCGAGGCATTGACTTCAAGGGCGTCAATCTGGTGATCAACTACGACTTCCCGCCCACCACCATCTCGTACATCCATCGGATAGGAAGGACTGGACGCGCAGGACGTCCAGGTCGGGCCATAACATTCTTCACACAGGAGGACACAGCCAACTTACGAAGGTAATAAACTTCAAAACAGGATGCTAAGGCTTTATTTAAACAAATATTATTTTCCCTCAGCATTGCGCTCATAATTAAAAACTCGGGCGGCACCGTTCCGGAGTATATGTTACAAATGAAAAAGGTTCGCAAATCGGAAGCCAAAATGCGAGCCAAGAAACCTATAGATCGCGAAGACATATCGACCAAGATACGCCCGGAGACGAAAGGCGACGAGATCCATAAATCCGCCAAACTGAAAAAAGTTGAAAAAACGGAAAAGGTTTTGAAAAAGCATCAAGGCAACGAAAAAGATTTAAAGCCGAAGCAGAAGAAGGTGGGCAAAATCAAAGAAGACCTCAAGGCTGCTGGAAAAAAGAAAGGAAAAGCATTCAAAGGAAAAGCAACTAAGGTGTAATTTTAAAATAAATGCGTAAACTTTAAGAACGTTTATATAAGATTTCTTATTTCCCCTAGAAAATCTGTACATTATGGTAAAATTGATACATATTGCATTTGAAAGTTCGCGGGTCTACTTCTAGTGTGAACGTTTTCCATGGTTTGTGTCTTGGGTAGAGGGCGTGGTATATTTACGGTATATTTCGCATTTGTTTAAGTATTATCTTGCTTGTGCAGCACGGTCACGCTGATCAACAACATCTCCGACACGTCAGATTATATTCTTAAGAATATTTGTTTTTTGTTGGGATATTTGCACAGTTGTCGGCTTGCATTGGACAAGACTGGGAAGTACACGCCAGAAGCACATACTTGGAGCCATGGCGCAGAACGTGGCCCTGCTGGGATTGGCTCTGATTGCCATTTCCGCCTTGATCTCCACGGTTGTCGCCTTGCCCGTTTCGCAGAAAAAGAAGGACGATCACAAGGAAGCGGAGTCCTCCACTCCGGCCACCGCCGACGTGGAAACGGCCCTGGAGTACGAGCGCTATCTTCGGGAGGTGGTCGAGGCCCTCGAGGCCGATCCCGAGTTCCGGAAGAAGCTGGACAAAGCGCCGGAGGCGGACATTCGGGTGAGTGGAGCGGGGATTTCCCGGAACTCTAGCGTATTGCCAGCCACGTCTGGACAACATATCGCTTTCATCATAGGTGTTGGGTAAAGTCTAATCAAGTATCTAGCAGAGTTAGACGGACTTCAACCCTATCATATTATAGGTATCATCTCTGTTATTTCTTAAAGTATTGCAGACAACTAAAATATAAGCTATAATTATTGAAATATAAGCCATGATTATTGAAACCTTGTAGCCTATATGCCATACATGATGATTAATAAACGTTCTGGCTTTGCAATTAGATGAGGGCTGTCAACGAAAGTGAAAATTCTTGTATAATCCATGTACGGTTGTCTCTATTCGCAGAGTGGCAAGATCGCACAGGAACTGGACTACGTGAATCACCATGTTCGCACCAAGCTGGACGAGATCAAGCGTCGCGAGGTTGAGCGTCTACGAGAATTGGCCAAGCAGGCCTACGAGCTATCCAACGACATTGACCGGAAGCACCTGAAGGTGTCGCAGCATCTGGACCACGACAACGAGCATACCTTCGAGATCGAGGATCTGCGCAAGCTGATCCAGAAGACTTCGGACGACCTGGCTGAGGCGGATCGCAAGCGGCGCGGCGAGTTCAAGGAGTACGAAATGCAGAAGGAGTTCGAGCGCGAGGCACAGAAAAAAGAAATGGACGAGGAGTCGCGCAAGAAGTTTGAAGCCGAAATCAAGGAGAAGGAGCAGAAGCACAATAACCACGAGAAACTCCACCACCCAGGAAACAAGGCCCAACTGGAGGATGTGTGGGAGAAACAGGACCACATGGACAAGAACGACTTCGAGCCGAAGACCTTCTTCTCGATTCACGATGTCGACAGCAATGGTTATTGGGACGAGGCGGAGGTTAAGGCCCTGTTTGTCAAGGAACTGGACAAGGTCTACCAGAGCGACCTGCCCGAGGACGACATGAGGGAGCGGGCCGAGGAGATGGAGCGCATGCGCGAGCACTACTTCCAGGAGACCGACAGCAACCACGATGGCCTGATCAGCATCGAGGAGTTCATGATGCAGACCACCAAGGAGGAGTTCCAAAAGGACCCCGAATGGGAGACAATCGACCGCCAGCCGCAGTACACTCACGAGGAGTATCTGGAGTACGAGCGCCGACGCCAAGAGGAGGTCCAGCGAATGATCGCTGCCGGCCAGCTGCCGCCGCATCCGAACATGCCGCAGGGATACTACGCTGCTCCACCACCTGGAGGCGTAGCCTACCAGCAGGCGCCACCGCCAGGCGGCCAACTGCATTACCAGCAACCTGACCAGGTACATGCACAGCAGCAACAGCAGTACGCACAGCAGCAACAGCAGTACGCCCAGCAATACCAGCAGCAGCAATATGGAAACGGACAGCAACCGGTGCAGCTGCATCCCAATCAGGTCTATCAGCACGCAGGACAGATTCCGCAGCAACAACAGCCTGCTTATCAACAGCAGCCCGTCTATCAGCAGCAGCAGCCTGTGCAACAACAGCAGCAGCAGCCTGTGCAACAACAACAACAGCCTGTGCAACAACAGCAGCAGCAACCTTTGCAACAGCAGCAGCAGCCCGTGCAACAGCAGCAGCAGCCTGTGCAACAACAACAGCAGCCTGTGCAGCAGCAGCAGCAAACCGCGCAGCATCAGCCCGTTCAACAGCAACAAGTTCATAATCAGAGTCCTCCACCAGCTCAAAATCAACAGCTGCCAGTGCAGCAGCAACAAAAACAACATCAGGAAACAGCAAATCAGCAACACTAAACATTCCTTGGCTGAGGCATTTCATTTAGGCCATGTAAGGCAATACAAACTCTTTTGTTAACGAGAACACAATGTGATTGGACTGAAATAGCAAACTAAAATGAATATATCTCACTCGAAACGGTTACCGCATTCTCTTTTAAATTTGTATACTTCGATCTTTTTGTACTTTTTTCTCTCATACTGTAGTTCTGCATTTACGCAATGTATTTTTTTAACGAATTTTTTGTACATATGAGTTTATGCCAAAACATCAGATACATAATAAATGCAGTGAAACGAAACAACGTTGTTTTTTCCGTCGACTTCCAGGCTTATAAATAATTAAGCTAAGTTTATGATTACTATTTCATCCCGTCCTTTGCCTAAAGGGTTTGATTTTCTCCGAAGTGTCAATATAAGTTGAAGTGCTGTTTGGGAAAAGGTTAAATATTTCAATTTAATTTGCTTCTAAATAAAGTTTTGTTTTTGAGTACATGAAATATTCAGCGTCTAAGCAACAACTAAAAAGACATATATGAATATATTGAATTTGGTGCACCAAAATAAATTATAAAACTGTTTATTGTCAACTTCGTTATAAGCAATACATATACATTCCTGTTTTGCAGTCTCTAAAATTCCTTATGTTTGAATGGGACAAGATTGTATTCGGCTTACATGACTTTCTTGGTGTCTGCCGATACCCCGTAGTTTTGGGCATAGAATCTTCCGAAGAGAAAGAGGAACGGCAGCATGTAGGCGCCTCCAGTGAAACTAATCCAGGTTCCGTACTCGCAGTCCCGGATAACCAGCTGCGTGGCCCAGAGCAAGCCGATTGTGAACTGCAGCAGCTGAAGGCCAGTCAAGTAGCGCTTCCACCATAGGAATCGCTGGATGCGAGGACCCAGGACACTCAGCGCATAATAGCCGTACATAATGATGTGCACAAAGGAGTTCATCATGGCCGGAACAAAGGCTGGACGAAAATAGAAGGGATAAGGCCTTTGACGCATTTGAAAGTACCAGGAATGCTCACTCGAACCCGTCGGCTTCCACTTAACGAAGACCCAGCACAGGACCAACATGGTGCTGTGGTGGTACACGTGTAGGAAGCTCAGCTGCGTCCACTTGTGCCGCAGGATAAAGAAGGCCGTGTCGGCGAATTCCAATATTTTCGAGATGTAGAACCACCAAATGGCCGCGGCAATCTGTTTTACAAAGGAACCCTCTCTCAATTCGATACTGTCACTCGGCTGCGCGCACTATATACCCTTGCAGTATCATATCATATCATATATGAGCAATGATTTGCCGTCGAGCACTTTTAGAACTTTTACAACAATATGGCTCGGTAAATTAGTGATTCGGTTATGTATTTTTAGTTAGCCTCTTGATAGCGAAAATGGATTTTAATATATAACATAAACTTCCTTTTCAAGTTCAACTTCCAAGAAGAACTTAAATTTAAATTGACTAACTAACTATTCTTTTTTTAAAGCTTAATAAGTTAAATATTATTTCATAGACTACAAAAATTGATGCCCTAGTTAATATATTTTTTACATTATTTTAGAAAATAGTATTGGTTGCAAAATAATGAAAAGGACGACATCGACAAAAAAAATTAAATGCTAGTATTTTAAAGGATTTCTTCTGTAAGGGTATTTAAGGCTCCGCTTTACCAAGCTAAGTGTTTTTTCCCATTTTTGTTGGCCCCAACTTACACGCATTTCATGTGGGCTATAGCTCACCCGACAAGGCTGACAACTGAAGCTATAGTTGAGGGCCCGCGTCGAAATGAAGAGCTCCAGGCAAATGTGGGCATTCAGCAGGGCCATGGCCAAACTGTGGCAGAACAATGGCACTCGCAACTGCAGCGGCTTGTACCTAAGTACAGGTTAAAAAAATATTAGCTCGATATCAAATTCCCAGCTTAAAATGCTAATTTACTTATATGATGAGCAAGAAAAAAATTTATGTCTACATCGAAAAAACTTTTGAGTCAAAACAAAACTGTAAGAAATCAAGTTATTTAGGTGGTATAAATTATTATTATTTGCAGACTAAATAAATACTATCAAAGGTCTCACAATAAGTAGTAGTAGACTAAAAGTTTGAATGACTGTATTTGGACAAAAAATGATAGGTTCGATTACCGCGGCTGCCGTGAAAAAATTATTTTTTAATTTCTTGTTTCACAAATGCAATTAATTAATATTTTTTTTTAATTTTCTTTAAGATCCCATTGTTTCGACATTTTTTCTCTGTGTCCTTGTGCCCGGTGGGAGTTTAAAGTGGTGTGTCGGTTGTGTGGATGACCTGACCTCACCTGGCGCTCCACTTGGGTCCATAGCGCACCATCAGCAGATAGATGGTCAGCAGGGCGGGTACATTCCAGGGCGATTCCACCAGCGGCCATGTTCGTGTCCGCTCGTCCGCAAATGGAAACGAATAGCTGCCAATTCTCGTACTATTTTCATCGGACACCATCGAATGTGGGCTTTAAGAACTCCCAAATGACTAAGCTGAGCAGCCGGCATTCGGCTCTTATATAGAAATTCTAGCCCTAATGCGTTAATATTCTAACTAGGTGTCGCTGGAGCAAACCTAAGTGTTGGGGCAGGTCCGGGTCTTACCTTTAAGACTTTCAATTAGCGTTTTGCGACTGCTTCTCAGCTGGGGTCCAAGGTTAATATTTTATTTTTTGGGTCAGATTTAAGTGGTATATAACAGTCACAAGATTGTCATTAAATAACAAACAGATCGGAGTCCGTTTACTAATGTAAGCTGACATTTTAATGATTGCAAAAATTGCATATACTAACAATAATATTTATATACACAATTATACACAATTATAACAAAATGGCACTCACGAAAAAGTAAGTTTTTACGTAAACTTTGAATCTTGTTAATATGCCTAAAAAAAAATGTTTAATTTAAGTTTGTTTTCTTAGCTGGGAAAATGTTTGATTACCATAAGTTAAAACCCCTGTAACATTTATTGCAGCACTTCGCATTAATCCAGCACCATCCTTTTTTGTCGGTTTTACATTTATTTCAACTTCATTTGTATCTTGATTAAGCAGATGAATTCATTTTCCGATTGCCTCTTGATCAATGAAGCGTTGAATATAGTTACATACATATATCTTTTGTGGCGCCGTATCATCAATATTGAAAAGTGCAATTGCAGGAGCAAAAACAACAAGAAAAACAATTGGAGAGCACAATAAAGTGTGCAACGTGAGAACGGTTTGCTGATGGTGATGGGAATGGCAGGTTGATGGGTGGCAAGGAAAATCGGAAAAGTCGGTGGGAGGAAAAGGGGCTGAAAGCCAAAAACGAAAGGCAAACATTTCGCTAAGACGTCCTGAGAAAGTGTAGCATACTCAAAAAGCACAGAAAACGGGGAAAGGTATTTTAAATGGTTTAAACCTAAGACAATTTGTGCGCAACTATTAAGTTATAAATTAAAAATTTTTAAACTTTGCAAACATTTGTAAATTGCTTAACAAATTTTAAGTGTTTAAGTGGGGTTTTACTTATTTATATATTTTTAAATATATATGCAAGGGGACCCTTTTCTCAAGAAGCCTTGTACATTCCACCAACAGCTATTATCTTAAGGGAATATATTATTATTCTTATCTTAGGGTATTTTACTTTCAATAGAGTTAACTACTCAGGGTCCGGTTGTAAGCCCTCTGTGCTGGTAGATGTTTTTGCGCTTTTCTCTGGCTTTTTGCCCTTTCATGTCTCCGGCTTCGACTCCATTTTCTATTATTGTTTTCTTTATTTGAATTGCAGTACGTGTTTGCACCTAAGGCACTTTGTGTTCCTGGCGCTGCTGTTTACATTTTGGATGCCGTCGGAGCAGCTGCGTCCAAAGGGTTGAGCTCCGCATCGCCAAACTCCGCCACATCCACTTCCTATATGGGATGTTTGCATTATTATTATTTCGTAAGCCTTGTTCCGGCACTCGTAAAGCGCAATTGTATCGCAAGTTGACCGCAGTAGCAGCAGCAGTTGGACCCATTTTATGGGCTCAATCATTGGATTTTCGGGGAGTGGTTGTGGACTGCCGCCCAGCGAATCAAGCGTCAATTTTCATTAAAATAATGTCACAATTCAGCCTCGAAATGGGGTCAGTCCCGCTTTTGGGGTCCACACTTCGCATGGGTTCCAATCGCCACCCCCTTCAGCGGTTAACCGCTTAGCTCTGCCCATCATCAGGAGGTTGCACATATGCCATCATGTCCTGTGGCTACGCGCGTCCTTCGCCCCTCAGGATTCCCTTTCTATTTTGTGTATCCTTCCGATGTCCCTCGGTCCCTTGAATTGTATGTGCTTACGTAACCGTATAATTGAGTTAGTTTGTTTGTCATAATCGACTGTCTGTAACTTTAATATGAGGATGAAAAATATTCAAGATACAAATATTAAAAAAAAAGGCTTTAATAAAATATGTCAAAATCGTGATTTAAAAACTGTGCTCACAAGACAAAATTCAGTCGATTTAGAAACTAAGATCAACAAAACACGTATCAACTAAAAATTTTAGTTTTTTAATTAAAACAAAAATAGAATACATATATTATATATTCATTTTCTTAATAAAGAAATAATAATTTAATAATAATTTTGTATTACTTCTAGTAAGGGATACTTAATATAGAAATCTATAAACTGTATCTTAATTTTAAAGGCTTATGTAAAAAGCTTAATTAAGGGGTAACAAAATCATTAAATTAACTAATGCTGATTAGTTTAAATCTCAGCCAACTCGAAAACAGTTTCACCTCTGTCAATGCAGTAGCCAGTGTGACTCCTAAATGCAATCGAAGTTGGTGGCCGATGGCAAATACATTTGAGAGGTTGATGTTCGGCTGCCTGGTTGTTGAATTGATATTTGTGAATACCGATCCATTCAAGCGTTCACAGGGTTGAATAATTTACTCTTGCGGAGTGATGTTCGGGTGTGGAAAGTTCCCTAGAGGTGAGCGGGAGGTTCATCGTGCTGACAATGTCGCCCCGAGTGGATCACGTGGTTTATTAAATAGATTACAGTTTTGTGCCCCCAACTTTGTGCTGCACATTGGACTAAACACTGAAACAGAGAAAATATATAATACCTTGGCATTTAAAATAAAATTTGACAAAAAATTAAGGAAACATTATTGATACTATGATATTTATTAAAAACTTGATTATTTTTAAACCAACTTAAAACATATTATTTCTTTTTTAATGCATTTATTCTATAGGTTCTTCAACTTTTATTTATAGTTTGTCTTAAAATTTATAGCGCAGAAATATGTCAAACTTGGACACAGAATGGATATAAAAGTCCCATTGTCAGCAGCAGTTGTCTGCATGACGAATTCATGTCGGTTTGCTGCAGTTTTTTTTGCCATCTTTGACCCTGCTGGACCTCATAAGTATGCATATGTAAATGTGTTTGCGGTCATCGGGACAAAGTTGAAAAGTTGAATGAACGATGTCATGAGAATTTCAATTTGAAAGGGGAATCTTTTAACCTAATCTGTGTTTTTGTTTATAGCATTTCGACTTAAAAAAAAGTTTACCAGAAACAAAAACGAAATCTGTACCCTAAAAAAACCTGTCTCAATAACAACGAATTATTTCGCAATCAAGTAAAAGGCTTTACGATGTTTATAAAACAAATAATTTTGAAGCAGCTTATAACCGCGCGGGCAAGTGGAGAGTCGGACAAAAATACAAACTGATGCTTTCTTCTTTTATTGTGCATCCCAGGGATTTTTATGCCCGTTGGACATTGCACTGGCCGCATCATTATATCAATATTCGTGTATTGACAGCGGAGAGCAATTGATGTCAGTGACAAAAGGGAAATACCATCAAGCAAGTCAAGCTGCCAACAAGGGTTGTGCCTTCCTCCGCTTTTCTCGATTTTCTCACTTTCCCTTCGACTTTCGTCCAACTGTAAAAAATGCTTGATATTTTTCATATTTCATAGAGGTATATTGTGTTTTTGCAAAAGCATGTTACAAACAGAAGGAAACGCATATCTAAAATCAATAGTTCCGGTATGTAAAAACTGCAGGTAAAAAAGAGAATGATCTGAAAAATAAAGCCATTCAGTAAAGTTTTCATATTTGTTAAAAAAATATTCTATTTAAATTAAATTGTCAACCCATTAACTTATTAAAAAAAAATGTTTTAACAATATTTGCCACTTAGTGGATAATATTTTGAACGCAGTAAAAACGTGAGGTCACTTATTAATTTCATAGTACGAATATTATTTTAAAATATTGTCATTTTTTTTAGCTGTGCAATCTTTGCCTTGTTATTGCATTGTGATTTTCTTTTTGCTGTTTGTGGGGATTATTGAATGCGAATGACCTGGACCAGTGGCTTCTCCTCGGACTTACTCCATTGGTATGGATGCTGCTGTCCTGTGGATGTCCACTGTCGAGTCGAATCGCTTTCTGTGTTTACTCGCATTTCCTGCACATTTCCGGCTCAATGGGAATGTGGCAAAATGTTCCCCGATGTTCGCAGAAGCATGAAGAATTGCGGGTTTGATTGGTAAAATATCTTGGTTTTTTAAAGGTATTCCTTCTTCGGGCTTAATCTAGATTGAGGAGCAATTGGTTTCGCTTTCTGACGAAAAAGAATCAGGTTGGTTTAGGTGTTGCAAATCGCAGTGGCTTTTGGCCTTAGTCAAAACTAGCCGTTCTTGACTTACACTTGGTTACTATTTTTAGGCAAAATTTCTGTCCCTCTTGTAAGTTAAAAAAAAGAAAGAGGTATTCAAATTTTAAATAAAATAAAGCCAAGCCTTTATATCCTTTATTTTTTTTAAGCTGATAATATATTTGTAAGTAAATGGCATACTCATTTTTGTCCTGAAAATAAATTTTCTAAAACCGAACTTTTACTTTCCTGATACGTATCATTTGTCTTTTTACATTATTACATCTTTTAGCAGGTGCAACTGCACGTGCAACATATTTTATTTGTCTTTCTACGGGTGAGTTGATTTTTGTTGCCATCACCCATACGCCACGTTGCCACATCGCCTTGAACCGCTTAACTGGCATCACATTTGTCATGGCTTTGCATCGCTTAGGTCGGATGTGGAGCTAAAGGACGGGATGGAGACTTAAGGGAAATATGTTATAGGATAGTGTATTCTGCTCGGTTGAGTATCGAATGCATTTTAGGTATTGTGCAAGGGCAAACTTGAATGAAGTAAAATTAATGGCTTACCACTTTGTCACCAAGGTTTGAAAGATCGTTTGATGGAATCTGTAGCTTTAATGCCATCTTACAATGGAATCGTGTGGTTAGGTTTGGAAGACTACTTAAAGTAAAGATGTATTTTTTTAAATTAAGAAAAGTGTTCTACTAAATATCTATGCAACCATATAGAGGTAATTTAAATTAAAGTCAGGTATAATTTTTGTTCAATTGAAAAAAAAGTGTTTTGTTAAGTATTGAATAGTCATAATAAA